ACACACACACACACACACACACACACACACACACACACACACACACACACACACACACACACACACACCGTGTTTCCATATCTTTGTGGGGACATCTAATTGACACAATGCTTCCCTAACCATCAAAATGAGCGCCTAATCCTAACCCTGACACTAAACCCACATTGTGACTCTGAAATGTCTTCAAACTCGTGGGGATTGGGATTTTGTCCCCAGAAGGGCCGTTGGTCCCCACAAGAACAGTAAACTTTCACGTTTTGGTCCCCACAAAGATACGTAAACACGGTCACACACACACACGCCTAAAAGGTCTGCTGCAGTCTTTCACACGTGGCTCAGATAAATGCCAGACCTCTAAAGGGACGTTACAGTGTGAGGAGAAATGTCAGCCGATGGCATTCAGCTCGTCACTTATAACCCTCGACGTAAGAACACACGCTTCTCTAAGATGTCTTTTTATATTTAAGAATTTTCCTCTTTCAGTCAATTAATAGAGAAACAAATGGGGAAAAAAGAAGTAAAGTATAAAGTGCGGGATGCGTTTCAAAAAGCTCATTTTACATTGATCGTGACTGTAATAGTTCTATAATCTGATGCTTTAAATGCATATTAAAATTGTGCAGCACCATCAACGTTTGCCTTGAACCAAGAGCTGCAGACGGCGTGCAGCTGTGCATGTTCCTGTGGCTGCAGCTGTGCTACACACTGACGTTCCTTTACGCAGACCAGTGTCATTCCCAGCATCTTTACCTTTAGTAGCCATTACTTTCATTTCATGTCACAGATCAGCTCAAAGACTGTGAGAAGAACTTGGGGGTAAGAAAAAGGTGGAGCTCATAGAACTAATTAGCACCTGCAGCAAAGCAAACAAAGACACCCAGAGCTCAGGTGGCTCAGAGGTCGTTATCAAGATACATCAAATTAAACGTGTTCGTGATATCATAAAACAACTCCTCCCCAGTGCAGTGTCGCTCCATGCTGCTTAGTCTTGGTGCATCATTCATTAAAATAACCAAAAAGCACCTCAAAGGTTCGACAGCGTCTGACGTGTCAGGCCTAACGTGCAGGATGGAAGCAGCAGAGACGGACCTCACGCTTATTCTACTCAGAGGCAGCAGCAGAGTTAGCCAGCATGGCAATTAGATTTTTGAGCCATCAAATGTTTTGTAATTGTGTTGCAGTCACTGGAGTGCTCTTGGATCATTTCTCCACCCACAAATGTCTACTCCTAACAGCCAGTGGCAGAGCTACTTCCTTCCAAACTACAGCTGATAGCTGGAATTAACAAGAGCTTCTGAGGAAGTCGTGCGATTCTTTCTGCATGTATCTAAAAGTTCAATCAAAGAGCTCCACTTTTTCAGCTCTCTCTCATCCTGGCAGTCAGCAGTGTCAGCGGGCTTCGCAGTCTGTGGGAGAATCTCAGCGGGTGGGTTTTGCATTTGGTCTAAACACACCACAGGAGCAGTGCTCTGGTGTCTACATGCAGATCAAATGCAAGACGGTCTCAAGACGTGCAGGATAATTAAAGTAGCACAAAGGTTTCTCTTTGCACTCGTGCACACAGGCCATGTTGAGCTGAGCACACGAGCCCGTTTGTTTGAGGAAATGTGATCCTTGTTGTTTTTATCTCTGCAGCTCGACCTGCGCTCAGCTGACGTCTCTCTGTTCTGTGTGCAGGAGTACAAGAGGAAGCAGATCGAGGAGCAGCGGCAGGCCGAGCGGCTGCAGAGGCAGCTGCAGCAGGAGCGGGCGTACCTGGTGTCGCTGCAGCAGCAGCAGGAGCCGGCGCGACCGCCGCAGGACAAGAAGCAGCTGTACCACTACAAGGATCAGGCGCCCAGCAGCAACGACAAGCCCACCTGGGCCAAAGAGGTAGCCTGCAGGGCCGGAGACGCAGTTTCACCTTACTTTCTTTCATTTTAGTGCTGGTGCATGCTTCTGGGGGGGCACAAGTCATTTAAGTACAACATTTAACCGGCAGCATCATTTATGTTGATGAGTGTGGAAGAAGCTGTTTCAAGGCGGCTTTGCTCTGATTGGCTGCCCCTCGCAGCAGAGGTGGCCATGTTAGTGACACCCTGTCCCCGCTGACATCACACAGAGCCTGAAACTGATTGTTGATTTTTTGATGCTTTTGATCGATTAATACAAACAAATCTTTGCATAAAATAAGAATACAGCTACATTTAAACAAGTTTTTTGCCACATGTTATGAGAAACATTCGATCGCACTAAAGTCAGACTATTGTTTGTTTTCCCTTTGTGACTATTGGAAAAGTGGTTAAGCACCAACACCTTCCAACGTGTTTCAAGAAAAGAGCTTTTACGGCTCTGAGGATGTGACGCTGCTGTGCAAACAGGTGCTGCTAGCATCCAAATGTGCACACATACACTCAGGTGAAGCTCTGCTGCAAAGACAAAAGGCTGGTTTATATGTGGGAGCAGGAACAAGACTTACCCACTGAGCAGCTTGTGGTTCCACTCAGACTCACACAAACAGATGTTTCCATTTATAGCAGCACTAACTGAGCTGGAGTCGTGTGAATCAAAGGCCAGCGCGCTCTGTTTGTTTCCCACCCTGCAGGTATCATCGGAGCTGATCTGCAGAAGAGTCTGCGATAAATAAAAGTGACAACTTTCTGATTTCTTTCATTTTCCAGGTGAAACAGCAGAGCGGCAACAAACAGGCGGAGAAACTACCAAAATAAGAGTTTCATTTTAAAAAGGCTTGATGTGTAGTGACTTGAGTCGTCCGTGTTCGTCACTAACAGGGTGATGAGCTCAGCGTGTTAAAGGTCAAACTGAGTCGTAGTGAGATGTTTTTCTGCCTTTTGGAGTGTTTCTGTAAAGAGGGCTTACGTTCCTCCCATCAAACAAATGTGAATGCAGATCACAGATCTCACTCTCTGGACACCAAAACCAGCGAGTGTCCTCCTCCTGTCCTCCTCCTGTCCTCATGTGCGTCTTCTCCTCGTTAAACACCCACCTTGCCTTCCAGGTGATGCGTCGAGCTCAGAGCAACTCCCCCCGCATCGCCCCAAAGAACTATAACTCCTTCACAGAGAAGCAAGACATCAACTTTGAAGAGCTCCTCAAGCTCCCTGGGTACAAACCTCGGCCCCGTCCCCCCTCCTACCCTGTCCACGTCAGCCCCACCAGACATCACATTCACACACCTCGAATCCGCATCACCTGCGTCCCCGAGCCCGCCTACTCTGAGCCTGTGGGGTCCCGGAGGAGCCCTGACAGGAGTCCCGACAGGAGCGCTGACTCCAGGGGCCGCAGCCCCAGCCGCTTGGTTAGTCGGAGGAGGAACAGATGCTTCCTCATCTTGCCGTCTGTCCAGCTTCCTAATTAACCTCCTGCTGGGATGATTTCCCTTTAATCTCTAATAAGAGCTCCTCTAACCAGGTGAACTGTCTAACTGTAACTCTGGGATGATGTGCACTCCTCCCTTTCTCACCTCCTCTCACCACTTGGATCTGTTGGTTAAGCTCCTCTTTGATTGGCTACCTCTGCACTTTCAACCACTTTAGCTCAAAATGTTGAGTTTCCACGGACACCATGCTGTTTGCAAACACACTCATTACAAGGCGCGCAGTGATGTTACATATAGCATACTGATGTATTCTTATGGCATATCTACAGCATATATAGGTGTAGACGAAGGAATAACCTAGGTAACCTAGCCAAAATGTATGGCACGCCTACAGCGAGCCTACAGAGTAGCTCCTACACAAACCTGCAGCTTACCTGTGTACCTGCATGTCTATGATGTACCTCGGAGCTGCCATGATGGCCTTTACTGCACTAACATTCTCACGTTCAGCACAAACGTTTTGTGCAGAGATAAGTATAAAATCTCTCTAACAAAGAAAAGACGACGATACAGCTGAAGCAGTTCTGCTGCAAAACAAGGACCTTAGTTGATACCAGATGAGCCCAGAGTTTTACTAGTGTGTATTTCTTTAAAAAAAGCGTATTGATCCCAAAATTTGAACCTGCAAATCTCATTTTTCCTTCTATTCCTGTTAATTATCTGGAATACTGAAGAGGTGTATGTCACTGAAACACAAGTAAACCCATGTTTTGCTCCGGGCCTCCAACTACATGGTGGTCAGTGACTCCAGCAGAGACCCTTCAAATGTTTTTTTATACAAGTTAAAATTTGTATTCCACAAACAGCATCGCTGACGTGACATAGTTTGTTGTTTTGGGATGTATGTAAGAACACTTGGTCGCTGTAACACCTGCCCTCTTACTTTTCTTTCCAACTCTTAACTTTAACCATCGCTTTCCATTTTACAGGCTACTGACTGTGCTGGTGCTGCAGGGTGATCTCTGCCCAGAGCAGCTCTCACTCTGGTGCTTCTCAAACCTATGCTGTGCATGCTGTTGTATAATATTTACAGGTCATTTGAGTTTATCTGCTGATTTAGAGCAATAAAGAGGATAAAAGCGGGTGAGAGTTTAAAGCCACCCAGACTGAGAGCTGCTCTGTTATTGCATGCTGTGATTTTATCTCTAACATGTACTTAATCAGATTTCCTCTTCGAGGCTTCATGTTAACTTCATGTTAAATTCCAGGTTGTTGAAGTCGTTATTTGTTCTGTAGCGTTGGTTTTATTTGCCTTTTACACTCTTGCACAGAAGGTACGAGCTCATAAAATCTGTGTTTCATGTGTGAACTCTGCTGATTTTGTCCAAACCATAAATTAGGGCCACTTTAAACTCATGACAGACTCACATTTAGGGCAGAGCTCCAGGTCTGCCCCCTGGTGGCAGCTGGTGGACAGATGTAGGACAGCTGCAGCTATATCGGAGTTTCTCCCAGCGGACGCTGAACATGGAAAGCACACTGTGTGCAGATAGGTCTACCCTCATCTCCCAGGATTTCCCTTCGAGCTTCAGAAGAGCAAATGTTTCCATCACAATGTTCCCCTCTAAAAACACATGACCGCCGTTTAGAGAGAACCGGCCCTGTGGAGGTGCACCTCATCAGGGGCCACAGGTGACGTGTGCAGCCAGCTCAAAACCATCAGACGTGATAGTTTGTTAAGCTGACAGTAGAGGAACGAAGAGCAGACTTACAGTGTTTTACAATTTAATGAGAAGCAGCTGAATTCACACAGAAAACAACTTCTTTTAAAAAGTCACTTTTATCTGACCTGAAGACAAATAACTTCTTCTTCTCCTGTAGACTTACAAGCTGAAGTCATCAGCCACAGTAACCAGCAGCAGAATATGAAACTGAGGGAAAGAGATCAGATGTGAGCTCTTTATTTAACTAATGCAGGAGAAAAGGCCCTGAGACAGACTTCACTTTACTGCACTGTAAAACACATTTCAGGTGTTATGTAAAGATAGCAAAGAAGGTAAAAGTAGACATACTTAATGTGTAATAATGCCCCAATCAGTGTTTCATGTTGTTAATAGTTAAGTATATAATAAATGTAATAAGTTCAGTAAAGGCCAACGTACTGATTTTCCTGATGAATCAATGTGTTTGTTTAAAAAATCCAAATACAAAGAGTCAATTTTCCATCTACACACTTCAGCTCCAACTAAATTACATTTTTAAAACATTTCCACAGAAGCTCAAATAAATCAAGTCATTGTGAGAATTAACGGCACCACCGCTGGCTGGAGATCAGACCTCCAGATGTTGGTTTAGCCACATGTGAGAACAGCCGTTATCTTTTAATGACGCCTGTTTTTATTTCGTATCCATCAAACGCTTCATTAAGTCCGATACGTCCAGTTTTCATTTACAGTTTGACATGAACTAAAACATCTTCCTGTTGGGAGCAGAACAACGTGATATCTATGTAAATATGAATAAGTGTGTATCGCTTACCGAAGTTCATCTAAATGTTTGTGTGCAGAGATGCACACAAACAATAAACAATATTGAGCTGTAAACAGTAACTCTGCTTCTTTAGCAGGTTAATAAACCTGTGCAGCAAAGAGATTCATTTGCTATCATGTGTCTGATGTGCTGCTTCTGCTGTTGCTCCTGTGTTATAGTTTTAAATAGTTGTGGTGAAGCCAGCTTCATTTTCTGCATCTTTCGAGCATTAAAAGCAGTAAATAGACCTCATTTTTAAACGAATCCATTTAGCTCTGCACAGAACGAGCAGAAGCACAGTTTAACCTCCCGAAACAATTATTCGTTTCTACCTGAGGAACAAAATGTGTCAGACTTGGTAACGAGCTACAGGAAAACTCCCAGAAGAAGAAATCAGTCAAATCAGCTTTAAAACCAAAACATGTGAACAGACACACACAGCTTAGAGGACACTTTCATCATGGTGTGTGTGTGTGTGTGTGTGTGTGTGTGTGTGTGTGTGTGTGTGTGTGTGTGTGTGTGTGTGTGTGTGTGTGGGAACATTACCAGCTGAACCTCTTCTCCTGCATTGCAGCATAAAGTCTCCAACCGGATCTCCGACCCAACCCTGCCGCCTCGCTCCGAGTCCTTCAGCAGCGGGGGCATCCAGCAGGCCCGGACTCCGCCCATGCACCGCTCCATGGAGCCACAGGTGTGTGACCTGTGTTTGTGTGTTTGTCTGAGTGTGATAACTTAATAAAACTTAATAAAAGTTTATTATATGTACGTTGGTACGGTGCAGTGGAATTCACTGGTTCTCTGGGACTCACCAACTGGCCCGTCTCTGAAACAGGAGGAGAGGATTAGACTCAGGACTGTGGATGTTGTGGTTATGAGGTTGTCCTCTCTGCTAGCTTCAGTATCGTGTCCACAGGATGTCAGTTTAGTTTAGTTTAACTCGCTTTAGCTTTTTTAATCAATCAGTGAGCAGAGCTCCTTTCGTGATCAGCGTTCAGGCCGCTCAATAATGTCTCTCAGTTATTGGACACAAAGAAATTTGTACATAAAATATTTGCAGAGAATGAAGCGTGTGTGTCCTGGACATGCACGCACATGCAGATACAAACCCTCCACACTTCTGTGGAACCGTCACAGATGCCCACGAGTGCATTTTAACGTGATGAATTCAAAGATCGGCGAGTGTTGGAGCCAGCGAGGTCGCTCCGTGTCGTCGATGCGTCCGATCGTCACGGACACACGTGGGTTTTGGTTTCATCAAAGGCGAAGCAGCTGAAATGAAACTCTGAGCTCTTTTGAACATCAGCAGAGTGGCCTCATTAGTGCAGGAGAGGCTTATGTGAATGGGATTAAGTGTCTGAGAGGAGCTAGAGTGAGACAAAGATTAATAAGGAGATTGTCGGGTGTGATGGAGCGGTGTCGGCAGGCGGTGACGCAGCATTGTGCTAGAAAGTGCGCAAAGCTTTGTGACGGCTTTTGATCGTATAGATGAAGAGCAGGAGGAGGATCAGGATGAGCAGTTATTGCGAGTTTCTCCTTTGTGAGTATTTGAGATGAAAGTTATGTATCTTTGCAATATCACCAGCCATCCCTGCAGCGAGTCTCTCATGCTGTGGTGGAGGTCCAGCTGCACCGTCTGTAGTCTTTCCTGATCTGCAGCAGGAGTGAGCTCGGCGTAGTGGCTCTCCACCCTCTGGGCTCTGGTTGGCGTGACCCTCCAGCTGGCAGCAGGTATCAAGATTAAAATAAGGGGCCCGGAGGAATGAGAGTGTTTGATCAGAAATAAATACAGTGAAGAAAACTGGTGCATGAAATGTTGTAATAATAAAAGCGTCGTGAAAGCCTGGAATCACTGTTTGATTTCAAATCCACTGTGATGGAGTACAGATGCAAAATGACAGGAATCCAGTCGGCAGGGTTACTCATCAGTAACAGTAAGTTTGGTTCTGGGTCTCAGCTTGTCTGAGGAGCTTTCAGCAGTTTATAGGTGTCACCCCCTCAAACTGGGTGGGGTCTGTTTATGTTATGGGAACAGTGGATGGTAATGGAAACATGCCAGACTTTTCCTTGGCATCCCTCCGTCTGTGCTCAAGTAAAGCCGGTCTGTGGGGAGTAGTTTCAGTAAAACTCTGGTAGGAGCTGAGTCCTGCAGGTGTGATGCACCTGTTTGTGTGACATCAGGAGACACGGACAAACTCCTGGGCTTGGACAGAACGCTGCTGCACGTCACCAGCAGGAGGCGCTGTGTGTCTGCTGGGCTGTTGGAGAAAATACTCACACACAC